CCCCAAAACCCCAAAACCCCAAAACCCCAAAACCCCAAATCATCGAAAATAATTAACAAAATGGAAAACAAAGATGAGGAAAAGACAACAGATTTCGCCTTCGATAGGGAGAGATTTGTACTCTACAAGAACGACGATATTCTCGAAGACTACGATGTCAGTGACACCTTGTTAGGAAAGGGAGCTTTTGGATCAGTACTCAAAGGAATTCATAAATCCACAGGCCAAGAGAGAGCCTTAAAGTACATCCCGAGATCAGTCATTACGAGGAAAATCGAGAGATTTGTAAATGAAGTCTCGGCTTTAAAATAAGCTTGACCATCCAAATGTGATCAGACTCTATGAGGTGTACGAAGTAGAGACAGATGTTGTCTTAGTGCAAGAATTGTGTAAAGGAGGAGAACTTATGCAAAGATTTGAGACTTATGATGTCCTAAATGAGCACAAGATTGCTACAGTATTTAAGCAGATTTTGCTTTCTATTGAATATATCCATCAAAACCAGATAGCACATAGAGATCTTAAACCTGAAAACTTCATGTTCACTTCAGAAGGAGATGACGCAAAAGTAAAGCTAATAGATTTCGGGTTGGCAACTCGCCCTGAAAAGCATGAAAAAGGAGGAAAATCTGAAGTTCATGGAATTAAATCAAGAGTTGGCACTATTATGTTTATGGCTCCTGAAGTAATCAGACAAGACTACAATTATAAATGTGACTTGTGGTCAGCTGGAGTGATACTCTATATCCTAGTCAGTGGATATCCACCATTCTACGGGGACAGCGAATATGACACAGTTAATAAGATTTTAGATTACGATTTTGGATTCGACCAAGATGTCTGGAATGTGGTTACCCCAGAACTAAAAGATCTCATAAACCATCTCCTCTGTGCTGAGAGCGAAAGATATAATGCCGAAGAAGCACTTGAGCATGACTGGTTCAAAAAGCATGAGACAAATGATGAAAGTTTATCCAAAGAGATTCCCCATTGCATCAAGCAAATCAAAAAGTTCACTACTTTCAATAGATTAAAGAAGATCTTGCTTACATATTTCTGCACAAGAATGCAAAACTCCAAAGTTGTGGAGGCTGCGGATATGTTCAAATTCCTAGGTAAAAATTGATCTATGTAAAAGCCTATTTTTTGTAAAATCTCTGACAATAATTATAGATAAAAACAACAAGGGTGTTCTGACTGTTGAAGATTTGAAAACACCATTCACCATGGATAGTACAGATCTCAGAGAGTTGTTCCAGAATATGGATACTGACAAAAATCAAAAAATTGATTATACAGAGTGGCTAGCAGCAGCAAAGAACTGGTCTGCTGTAATTACACCAGAGATGATCAAAGATGCGTTCGAAGTTTTTGATATAAATGCTGATGGCTGCATTGATTACAAAGACCTCAGAGAAGGTAAGAGTCTTATTGCCCGTCACCTGTTAAAAATGCTTTACTAAAACATTCAAAGCTTTATCTCTTAAATTATGAATCTAGTGTTGACAAATGATGAAGACGACACAGGAGTGAGTAAAGTATGGAAGACTATCATTGACGAGGCTGATACTGCCGGAGAAGGAAAAATTAGAATCGAAGATTTCATGAAGATGTTCGAGAGCAAACTTAATCTTGAATAAACTTTCCTCTCATATCTCTCTAGAACCCTCCCTCTCAAAATTTTTGTCCTTTACCTCCCAAATCTACCAAAATCTTGGAATTTCTATAGTTCAATCTCTTTTGTCCCGCTTGGGGTTTTGGGGTTTTGGGGTTTTGGGGTTTTGGGGTTTTGGGGTTTTGGGG